GCAGCGCTCCCGGCCCGGTGCCCGCTGTTATTGACGGTACCGGGCCCGGCTGAGCGCAGCCCTGCCCGGCCTCACCCGCCGAGGATCAGCCGAAATTATCGATCAGCCCACGCCATGGTAAATCACTGCCAAATCACTCTCAAACACATTAAAAACCAATTTATACAGTCTCAATCGATACCATCTCTGAGCGCCCTTATGTGGCGCTCTGTTTTCTACTCATGAAAACAGAGTAGAAAAGGGCAATTACTCATTGTGAATCATCCAGAGTTTCTAGAGCAATAAAATAAGGAAATCTCACGCTTTGCTAAATTTGGGGTTTCATGGACAATTCAGGAAAGTAGCATTTGGCAGTAGCTTGTACTCAGGACAAGATGTTACCTGTCAACTACTGGGATCAAGCCTCAGGCATCTGAATTAGCTGTGAAAGTCTTCAGACCTTGCTAAAAAATAATCTCTATAAGCAGGATCAAGCATAGATGGACAGTGTTGTCAAAAGGACCTTTTAGAGCACAAAGCTGACAGAATTTGGATCTGTAAGTTCATTTATGCTGTACTTAGAATCGAGGTTTTATAGGTTTGGAGAAGTGAGTTGATACACTTCAAAAGTGTGTTTTAAAGGGAAATACACGGAGGAGGTATCAATTTAAATATGATAATTGTATAGCTCGGAGCACTGACAGCATTGAAGTTATTGGAGAATAGTGCCCTGTAATCTCTCAAGTGGTGTTTTCCCCCTTTCAGGCTGTGCCTTTAATGTTCTATTACTTTTGTCTGGAGCAGATGGTGTGATTTTGTAACTGATTGCCTGATTTTGTAACTGATTGCCTGATCCTGGTTCCTGTTAGTCCTGCAGATCCACAGGCTGGGGAAGAGCTAATGGGCCACGCTCCTGTGAGCTTCAGGAGGATGTACCTCTCATGAGAAGCACCTGAAAAAAATCTGCTTTTTACCTGTGAAAACCTTTGAAGCTCTGAGCAGTAAATTTATTTTTTAAATGTTCTGCTGGAAGGTGCTGATTTACAGCCCTGGAGATGGAAAATCTCTGGGTGTCCACAGAGCAGCTCCAGCACAAGCAGCAGCACTTTAAACCTTGTCCCCTGCCTGATCAAACCCCTGAAATGATTAAATCCCTTCTCAGATCCACAGCTGCCAATTCAGGGGTGTAGTGTTGATCATTAACGTGGTGAAACAGGCTGGGAGATAAAGGAGACACAGGGTGTGGGTTGGGGTAGGCACAGACAAATTAAATTTCCATTTAGAGCTGATTTCCATCATTCTGCTGCTCCCCATGCCTGGGGTTTGCTGCGGTCCTCAGCTGTGCTGATGCTCTCAGGAGTCACTGCAGCTCAGTATCTCTGCAGCTTTACTTCTGAGGGGTGAATTTTACTCCTGTGCCTCGATTTCTCTCTTTAATAGAGATGTGCTCTCACCTTACCTAGCCTGGATATCTCCTTGCAGCAGCACATTGTAATTTTTACAAGAAACTTACCTTTGGACTTCTCTAATGATAAAGTAAAATCTCTCTCGAGTCTCATTCCCCCAACTTTCAGAGTTGGAAACTCACACAAGCTTATGTTGAAAAGGAATTGATTATTCAATGCTCTTGTGCTTCATAATCTCCTTAAAACATGTAGATTGACTGTCTCGTCAGGAAATCTCTATATTTCACTTTGCTATATGCCCATTGGGTTATGTGCTTAAGACCAGGAGACCTCTGGCTAGTTCCTCACAGGCTGTGTGCCCCTCCAATTACAGGTTATTAATTTGCCTTGCATTCCAGAGACAGTTCCACATGAGTGAAAAGGAATTCTGTGCTGCAGAGTTCTTCATTACCTACTCTGTCTGTACTACAAAATAAGAATAATACTGATTTTTTTTTTCTCTCTCTCTCTCTTATTTTTTTCCTTCCCTCTGGTCTGTGGAAGATGTTTTACAGTTTTAATGCAGCTGTTTTAAGTGTGACTGTTCCTGTTCAAGGGCAGCTGATGTACTTTGTAATGCCACCAAGCAGCCAACAAGCTCTGTTCCCCCATTGTGTTGAAGTGATAGGTATGTTTGCTAATCAAGAGGAGAGCAGAGCTTGCTGTCTGACTTGTTTATGTTTTATTTCTCACCATCAAGCTTTAGAGGGAGGCACAGAAAATATGTAAGCATCTATATTATTCAGTGATGTATATGTGCACATGGTGCTGCTGATGTCTTGCAGTCACTCCTGGCTGAAGGGAGGGATGTGCCCAGCATCCCTCAGAGCACCCCAAACCTGGCTTGTCATCAGATAAAATATTAATTTATTGTCTCTACATCTCAGGTTTTTACACCTCTCGTGTGATTTCTTCAGTTTTGTTCCAAAGTAGTGACCACAGAGGAGGATTTTGGTCATCAGGGTTCACAGGAGGTCTGTGGGAAGTGCTCACACCCAGGAGATGCCCCAGGTTCCCACCACAATTGCTGTTTGATTTCCTCCTAGGCTGTTTCTCCTTCCCACGTGGAGGATGGAAGCAATGTGGAGCTGGGGAATCTCCAGGATCTGCAGGAAGCTCAGCAGCACAGGGGATCCATCTTTCTGTGCCTTTCCTGGGCCTTCCAGCCCTGATCCCTGCTCAGGGATGTCAGCCCTGCCAGAATCCCACTGCAGTTTCACTCATGGGTTTGTGGGTTTTATTCCAATTCCTTGCAAAACTGCTTTCAGTATTCTGAAACAAAAATATAAAATCATGTCAGCTGGCACCTCTGTAAATCCCTGTCAGTGATTCCTGTAGGAATTGTCATAAATAACACACAGGAAGAAAGTTCAGTGCTGCAGCCAGAAATTCTGGACCATGGGAAAATTCCACTGCTCTTTGTATGGAATGCATTTTTGGGAAAGAGAAATTTTGGGGTTGTTTGTTTTTCTTTATTCCTGCTAGGATGTGTTGGGTTTGTGTTAATTCTTGTAAACTGGAGGGTGGGGAGAAAACTGCCCTGGAAAGGGCACTGAAATTCTCCTGCTCTCCCTGCCATGCCTGCCTGCAACTCAGTCTTGGATAGAGAAGAAGCTTCCATCTGATAAAATTCCTCCCTGCTGCTGTGCTATTGTTGCAGTTAATTTTATGAATCCCATTTTTAACAGAATACTCAGTTTTTGCATTGTCATTTTGCTCTTTGTCAAGTGTGTGGGTTTATTCCATTCCTTTTTTTTCCCCCTCCTTTCAGCAGATGGAGAATATTACTCTCTTTAACTTGTTCTTTTATAATGTGAAGTGGATATCCTCAATTAATACACTAATCTGTTTCCTAATTAATTCCCTGTGGTTTTCCTCTCTTTTTGCTGGTACATTGAATCCTGAGTGCAGTTCTGTAAACTCAGTAATTTGATTATTTAAAGGAGAAGCCACGAATTTCATGATAGAGGCAACAATGTTAAATTCCAGGAGCAAATGGATTCTATTATTGCAGTTTAAAACCTGCTTGTTCCCGGGGTGGAACCGTGCACTGCTAATAATTCACTCTGCTAAAATCCAGGCAGATTGCTGTCAGCTTGTCCTGAAGAGAAGTGCAGTGCTAGAAATCTGACACATACACTCTCCTACAAGCACTTGTTGTTGTATTTTTGTATGCAGATGTGATGGCAGGGTGAGCATCAAAACATCAACCTGCCACGAAGGGGATTTATGTAGCAATTTCTCTCTTGTTTTCAGTGGAGGCATTGCTGTATCAGACAGATAAAGGGAAGGGGCTCTCCTGTGCTTGGGAATTGGTTTGGCTGCTGCTGTGGGAAGCAGCTCCAGGTGATTTTGCTGTCCTTTCTTTGGGGTGATTTGACACTGAGCCCAAGACATGACAGCAGTCATTGGAAAATCTATAGTCACTCTCATTGAACTTAATAATTTAATTCTTCACACACCCTCCCTCCCAAAAAAAGAAAAAAACCCCAAATTTTAAGTATTTTAATAGAAGTATTTTACTTTATAAAGACTCTAGTGCAACATCCTTACCACTGTGTCTCACTACATAGAATTTTAAAAGCTCCATGGTAGTTGCAATCCCAGTCAGAATCTTGCTGATGTTCTCTCTTGCCCTAAAAAAAATTAATAATAGAGGAAAAAGAGCTTTTAGCTCTAAAATTAGGGGTTCATCAATGCAGTAGTTAAGGTTGTTGAAATTAATTTTGAAAATTATTTTCAGCTGTATCTTCAGGCCTTTGGGTAAATTGGAGCAGTAGCACACACAGACTGTTGTGGCAGAACCAATATCACCTGCTGAGCTCCATCCAGAATGCTCAGAAATTCCTTTCCTGCCTCAGGATTTCTTTTCCACAGCTCAGGTCATTGTTTTTGCATTTTAATAAGATTGTGTCACACACATCACTGTGCCACCAGTCCAGTGTGGATGAGAGGAAAAAGGACTTTACAAAATTAAGTGGCCACCAGGTTTTACCAATGCTTTGGTCCTCATCCTTGTGAGTTTGGGGCTTCCATGGCAACAAACATGCAGAAGCCAACAATTCCCAATACCAGTCAGTCCTAAATGGGATTAACTGCTTGGTTTGGCTGCAGAAGGGCTTGTGAGCATCGTCCTTCATTGCAGGCTCAGTACACAGAATAAATGTCACCTTTTTCCTCCTCTGCAGTGCCAAACAACCTGGTCCTGAAGCTGCTGACAGAGCGCCTGAGCTCCCTGGACTGCCTGAGCCATGGCTGGGTGCTCTCAGGCTTCCCCAGGGATGTGGAGCAGGGGGAGCAGCTGCAGAAAGCACAGATCAACCCCAACAGGTGAGGCAGAAACCCACCAATCCCAGGTTTGTTTGTGGAGAGATGCAGATCTTTGTGGTTTGTGCTGCTGCGTCTCAGTTTTGGTTTTCTTAGCAAGGAAAGGGGTCCTGCTCCTGGAGAGGAGGAAATAAAGCCTGGCCTGACAAATGCTCCAGATGGCCAAACTGTGGGAGAGAGAAGAGGTTTGTTGTTCTGGTTATTTGTTTGAGTTGCCTCTAAAGCCAAACCATAAGAAATGGATTAAAGTTTGGATTATAAGAGAAGATGTATTTTATTTGCAGCAGGAGGGGGAGGATCTACATCTTCTTTCTTCAACATAATACCATGGAAATATATTGGTATTGCAAGGAGTTCATTATGAGACTTTTGGGTTTTGTGAAATAATTAAAAACAACATGAGAATTACATTTTATTTGAGCTATAATGAATTGTTCAGAAATGTAATATGAGAGACATCAGCATCCAAAGAGAACTGTTACGAGTGCCAAGCAAATAAAATAGAGTTACTTTTCACAGCTGGTCCAAAGGTGGTGAGGATTTAAAGTGCTGGTGCACTCAGAGCTGAGAGATTTTTCCATTCCATTCCATTCCATTCCATTCCATTCCATTCCCAGCCCCTCCTGGCTCTGTCTATGCCACTGCCTGGCTCAGTGTCCATTCCAAAGGCAAACATTGGAAATTTGTGATTTTTCTGCTACCAAGGAAGATGTTCTTAAATAGTGGGATTTTTTGAAAAATTCTGAAAAATAGTGGTAGGAGAGGTGCATTACCCACATCAGTGTTTAATTTGGCAGAGTTCCTCTTCCTGGGTGATTGCCCTGGATTTTCTGCTGTACAGGGGTAGGAGAAGGATGGAAAAGGTTGGGGGTGAGTAGAGAAAGAATAGAGGAGGGTGCAGAGTGAGGGAGCTCTGCATCCATCAAGGTTTGATAAGGAAAATGTGTGAAAACAGCAGTAACTTTATTTGTCCAAAGTAAGACTTTGTGCACCTTAAACAGGAATCAATTGCATGGGGAAAAAAATGGAGACAGAACCTCCAAACTTGTGTTGGACTCAGTGAAACGTAATTTCGAAGTAAGACTTTGTGCACCTTAAACAGGAATCAATTGCAAGGTAAAAAACGGAGACAGAACCTCCAAACTTGTGTTGGACTCAGTGAAACGTAATTTCCCAGAGATTATTCTTCTTGTGCATTTAGAAGGAAGGTGCAGAATCCCTGAGCACTCAGAGTCCCTGAGATCAGTGTGAATTCTGAGTGTGCCCCTGGTGCTCCTTCACAGGGCTGGGACCTCATCAAGGCAGGGAGAGCAGCTCATTATGGAGTTGGATGGGTGGAAATTCAGCCCTGATCCGTTTGCTCAGCCTCCCTTCACTTTAAAGAGCTCTGCACGTTCACATCCGAGTTTGGAATTTGGTCCCTGTTTCACACAGGGCTGGAAGTGAGGGACAGAAATAGGCACGGAGCTCCCTGATTGATCTCAGAGCTGATGTTTTCCATGAAGCTGAAGTGGTGGGGATGTGAGGCAGGGAGGGTGATTATAAACAAAAGGACACATTGCAGCACAGGATAGCAGGGCAGTAATTCAGTTTCAGTTGTGATGCTGGTTATAAAACACTATCTGCAGAGGTGGTGTTTCTGACATCAGGAGAAAAACCTGATAGAATTATAGCCTTGAAATCAATCTGGGAATAGGATGCAGAAATCTATAAATCAGACACAGAACAATCTACAAAGTCTCATTTTTAGGAGGGCTCAGTTGATGAAATTAGATTAAAATAAATTTACATATATATCAAGTTTATTATTAAAATCTAGTCACATCAGTAAACAAAATTATTTGTGAAAGAGAATGTTACTCTGCTTTTTGAACTCAGAGTAGACCTCTTTGGCTGATCAGAACACAGAGTTATTGTCTGCTTGTCAAGTCACAAATCTATTCCTTAGAGCTAATAAATGGTTAGTGTTCAAATACTATGTTTTATCTGACTCCCACCTCATAAAGCTACCACACATAATACTAAATTATACAGCATTGAGCAGGATCAGTCTCCTGACTCCTCCATCTTACAGAAAGAAAAACAAACCTAGTAATTGATGGTAGAAAAGAAGGAAAATAAAGTTATTTGAAAACAAACAAAATGGGCTATAAAGTTTGTTAAAATGTAATAATAAAAAAAAAAACCCTGATGCAGCATCAGCTACCACAGCCGAAGAACTGCTCTGGAACAAAAAAGGAAAATAATTCAGTTTTCACTGAAAAAGCAGGAGGTTTGTTTAAATTAGAATTTGCAGCAGAAAAATTCTAATTTAAAGAAAGGGGTTTTCTGGGTTTGCTGGTGGAGTGGCACAGGAAAAGCTGCAAACTCTGTCTCCCAAAGAGAGGAGGGAGCTGCCCTGGGCTCCCCCTGTGGAGCAGCTCCTGCCTAAGTGGACAGGATCCTGCTGGCATTGAACCCGGGCAGCCTCCGGGGCAAACGAGGAGCTGGATCTGTTAATGGCCTCTCACCTGGGACTAAAGGATTAACCATTTACTGCCATTAACCTCTTCGTGCCTACCTGAGCAGGAATCCACAGGACGGCTGCTGAGGCTCTGACACAAAGCACTGCCTTCACTTCTCACCCAAATGAGTGGTTTAGCTGTTTTAATTAGTGCTTAAGCAACAAAAATAAATGTATAATATAGCCATGGGTGGTTCTACTGAAAACTCAGTGTAATATCTACCAAGGTGGTTTTTAATCCTTTTTCCTCCCTCTCAAACTTGGAGTTTAAATAAGATTCAGCAGCAGCAGGGTCGTGTTGTGAAGCTCTGGTTGTCACCTGATCTTTCCTCTGCTGGGCCAGCTTAAAGCAATCAGAAATTTAAGGATTCCCTGAGCCAGAGGATCCTCTAGAAAACTTCTAATCACCCCTTTTCCTTGAGTTTTAATCTCTTTTTAAACCTTTGGGCCACCAAATCACGTGGAAAGTAGTTTCTCATTTCACTGGGTGTCATATCAAAATACTTCATAATTTTTTTCCTGGTGCATTTCTTCCCTTGAGAAGCAGTTGCAGACATTCTGTGGTCATGTCCTCCAATATTTCTGATTTTCTAAGCCTCTTGTATTTGCCCTTCGGTCACCTCTTTCCCAGACAAAGAACCTTGATCTGTTTATCCTTTTTTTTTCCTAGAAATCATTTCACTCTTTTGATCATCCTCTTCTCTCCCCTCACTGGGCATTCCAGCTTTGTTTTTTTTTGCTGAGGTGAAACACCCAGAACTGCGTTTGAGGGCAGCGCTGTGTCATGGGAGGTGGATATAATAAACATTTTTATTTTGATCTTAACTCCATCACTCATAATTGCAGATATTCTATCAGGTGTTACTGGGATAGATTTTGGAAGAACATCTTCTGTGACCAGACTGCCATAACTAAACATCGTGAAAATACACCAAAAATGTACAAAGTGTGAAAAATCTCAGTTGAGTGGGTTCAAACTCAGAGAGATCTAAAGAGAGCCTTTAACTCCAGATTTCTGTGTTGAAGTTTTAGGCAGGTTTGTGTTGGAGCTCTCCTCAAACCCTCCCATCACTGTCAAAGGCTCTGCTGCTGCCTCCCCTGGGATTGCCCTTTCCTCCTCCATTATTTCCTTGGTTTTGCCCTTCTGATCTGAATCCAGGGTCAGTTATTTTGCTTTTCAGTGTTGATTAATTATTACAAATAATATAACTGAACAGACAAAGCTGGGCAGGGAAGGGCTGAGGCAAAAGGATTGGCCTAACAATACATTCATAATATATTTCTAATGCCATTTTCCAAAATTAAAGTTGTTTCTTTCCCAGTAGAGAAAATAAACAGCAACAGCTTCTCCAGTGCAAGCTTTCCAGCAGGGTTTTATTTGGTCTTGAAAATGATGTGGCTGTGTTCCCAATTATGTCATCTTTTTACATAATATATTTAAAGCTTCTTTTTCACCACGCTGCTGAGAACATGTATTCAAACAGTTTAGGATAATGAAGTCCTAATTTCTAAGGAAGAATCTTTGAATGTGTTGAAAAGGGAGAAATCAGGATGGGGGAAAGAAAAGAGATTTTTTTGAGCTACTTGGTCTTTACATGGGGCTTTCATATTTCTGCAGCTGATCCCAATGTGGATTAGGGATAATAAACAGCCTATTAATGGAGGCCTGAACTAGGAAATGGAGTTGGAATCAGCAGTAAAATTCAATGGCTGGTGAAGGTTAATAACTCCATTACTATCAGCTCTATTTTTGAGCCGTTTGAAGAGCTGGGTGTTAGCCTTACCTTACTCCTCATTAATTGAGCTAATAGAACCCCAGTGACCCCACCATGCTGCCATTATCTGAGAGTTTACCAGACATGGACTGGAATACTTATCACTGAATATGTATTCCTCAGATTCATTTTTATATCAGAAATATTTTTTGTTAAAGATCTCCTGCCTTCAAGTTCCTATTTTGCCTTCTCATTTCTTTGCTGCTTTTTGCAACAGCTACTTATTTGGAAATTACGTGTAAATGACTTAATTAAATCCCTATCAAGGAACAAGCTAAATCCCAAAATAGTTGCATCAAGGAAACATGATAGTGATTGAATTATTCTGACATGGAAAAATCTTACAGAGCATTTTAAAAACTTTGACCTAATTTAAATGATGGATATTGTGTATTTATAATAGGTGTGGTTTTAGTTGATGGCATACAAAAATCTGATGAGTAGCAAAGAAGAAATGTTATATCTTATTTTCTCCTCATTTTAAGGCAAAAAAAACCCAACCAAACAAAACAAAACAACAAGAGAAAAATGATGTGCTAATCAAGGGATTAAATCAGTATAATAAAATTTGCCTGCACCAGAGAGAAAAACTGGAGGAAAAGTCCAAGTGAAGTATGTAGGATTTGGATTAATTGGTAAAATAGTAAAAATAATAGGCAGCACAATTCTCTGTTTCAATAATTCTCTTTTTTTTTTTCTCAGCTCACTCTTCCACCATTCTGTGG